ATATCCAATATCTTAATTAATCAATAGTTAACTGTATTGTTGATAATATAATAAAAATACATTATAAGAAAAATACAAAGACAAAGAATACATAAATTATTTAAATGGCAACCATTTAAATAATTTATAAAAATATTTTCCATTGGTAATATTTTTTTTTCCCTTAATACTAAGATTAGTTTCAATAATAACTGAAGAACAATGTTATAAAGAAATCAGTTAAACATTAAATCATGTCAAAGTTAGTTACACACATACACATATATACTACTAACTTTAACCTAAAGTTTATATGTACTGTATATATTAGATATCTGATATAATTTTTCTCTTGTATAATTTAATTGAATAGTGGAAAAGTTCATAATTAATTATTAAAGATTTACAGACTGTATATGGGGGGGACCCCCAAAAAAAACCGAAATGAGAGCTTGCTGCCATTTGTAGACATAGTAGAGAGTTCTCCTGTTACATGGAGTTAGTAGAGACCTTCACGAAACAGCTGTGCAAACGGTGTCAGTTTGTAGGTTTACATTTGAGCGTAGTGTTGTGTTTCTCTTACTGTTATTTTGTTCTGCCTGCAAAGTTCTGGGCATCCTTCAACATCTCAAAACAATGAAAATGTTGAAAAAATCTGCCAAAAAAGTGTTAAGACATCTGTGAGAGGATGTGCGAAGGAAATGTCTGGAACTATGGCGAGCAGGTGACTGGTTCCTTCATCATGACAACGCCCCCGCACACATGGCCTTACGATTGACCCACTATTTGGCCTCTCGGGGATGGCCTGTCATTCCTCACCCTCCATATTCACCAGACCTAGCCCAGTGCGACTTTTTTCTGTTTCCGAGAATGAAGAAAAATCTAAAAGGGAAGCGTTTTGATAATGTGGAGGTAGTAAAAACAGCTTTGCTAAGGGCACTGGACAATATCAAGGTTGAAGCATTCTAGAGATGCTTCAAACAGTGGGGAAAAAGACTTCACAAGTGCATCACATCTAATGGAGAGTACTTTGAAGGTGACTGAAGAAATTTTGTAAAAAGTTAATAAATAAAGTTTTTATAAAAAAAATTCGGTTATTTTTGGGTCCCTCCACGTATTCTTATAAAAAAATATCCAGCAATAAGTTTTCCTGGCAACATTTAAAACTGTGTTTGGAGTGTCATCTGTTATGATATTTTATTATTAAAAGCTTTTTATATTTTTAATTATTATAAAATGGTAAATAGCTTAATTTTGAGGGTAGGGATGGTTTTAACAAAAAAATTGTAAATGCTAAGAATGAGTAAAATTGTCATTAAGTCTGATCCTACTCAAGATGTGACACATGATCTCCCTTCAATCTTTAACCACCAAAATTTAATAGCATCAGTCTCCCTAATACACAAATCTCCCTGCAAAATTTCAGAAATTTTTGATAAAAAACACATGAGTTATTAAGTTTCAAAGAGGGTGAATAGAATGATTGCCCCTCCCACACACGAGTCCAAAAATGTAAAAATCTGGGGGGTCATTTTTTGACTAATTGCCATACTTTTTCTCTGTTATATCTAACAGAGCCAGGAAAGTAATAACATGAAATGATAAATAATTTTTTGTGGAATTGAGTATTTCCTTCATAAAAAATATATATATAATATAAATGAGGATGTTTGCTTGTTTGCTATGCAAGTCTAGGCCATTCAACCAATTGCTATGAAACTCTTCAATTGCATTCAAATAATTCTAACTTGGACCTCAAATTATTATTATTATTTTTATTTATTTTTTTTTTTTGAAAAGTTATGTTCTAGTATAGTTATAAAATTCATTACTAGGTTTAAATTAATTATATAGTGAATTAAATAATTTAGAAAATTTTGACAGAAAAAATTGACTCAATGGGAAATAAACTCCTACTCCAAATGGATAGGCCAAGAAAAATAATCTGATAGTATAAGCTTAATTTTAACTAATGATTTCAGTTTTGGTTATATTGTATGTATGAGTCAACTTGCAAATTCTCTGGGATACTATTTACATGAAGTATATCTGTAATATATGTTGATACAGCTGTCCCTTGATAGCCCAACGTTTTATAATCCAACATGCTCAGTAGTCCGACACACCTCCCATCAAGATACCCATCCCCGGTATGTGTCTGCTTGCACAGAAGCATGTCGTAACGTGAATCTCCCCACCCAATTCTTACACGATGACACACATTTTGTGTGTTTTCTGTATTGTTCTGTTCGAACAGAACAATACAGAAAACACAGAACTGTTCGAACAGAACAGTTCTGTTCGAACAGTTGGAGTAGGGAATATTGTAGGCTACTGCTAGCAAAACAATGCCAAATATGTAATCACTTTCGGTAATCTGGACACTTTTGGTAATCCGACACCCCTTTGGTCCCATACCTGTCAGATTATCAAGGGACAGCTGTAATTTAAATAAACACTAAATGTAATTGTGTATGTGCCGAGGTGGCAAAGGATTGAAAGGATGTGGCAAAAACGAACAGCCATTTTGTAGCTTGAGGGAGCCAGTTGGATGTACAAGTGTTCAGTTGTATTAAAAAAGAGTTATTCATATTTATATTATCTGGTCAGTTGAGTCATTTATAATACAATATCTATATTCATTGTAGATTATGTATCATTATCATCTAGCCATAACAAATTTTATTCAATTACAGGATTTTCATTACAGTACTCAGGTCCTGCCAAGTTTTTGTGCTAGTTTACTATATGATTTTTTTTTACATATATTGTTTCTGTTAATCCTACTAAGAGTCATCTCCTTGAGGACAATAAGTTTAAATTCATATTTACAGCTTTTAAATAAATTATCGCAATTTATTTAAAAGTTGCTATTGTTTCTGCTACATTTCTTTTAATTAGAGACAATTTGCCCTTATATGTGCAACATTACACAGGGTGATTCATTGGTGGCATTCAGTAGCTTTTTCCTCAGAAATCATTGTTAGTAGGAAGATGTGACTAATAGCCAAGTTTAAGGAGCAGACAGACCATTTTTGGTGACCTTTGATGACCTTGGAAATTGGCAGTTTTTGAGAAAGAACAAAGTAGGGTTTTTTTAATTATAAGAGGTGCTTTTGAGTCATTATATGGATAAGTTTGTGACAAAATAAACATCTTTTGTAATAGGACATATTTTCTTAAACTTAATGATTTTCAAGATATTTGTCAGTTTCTGCTAAAAATCTGATTTCTTTTTTCCCAAAAGTTTTATTGTTGGAAACTAACTTTATCAGTTTATTTATCAACAAAGTTTTATATGACAGAAACAGGATAGTAATGAAAATACATTTCAAAATTAATTTAAATTATATGTTGAAATGTCTATCCTTTTGGTGTATACAGGCATTTATTTTTATAGGAAAGGCATTTAATACATTTTGTAATTCACATTTAATCTTATGAAAACATTCCAAAATTCTTATTTTCATGTTTTCAGTAGAAGGAAGCTGAAAGTAAACCATTTCCTTCATTTGTCCCCTAAAGATTGGCATAAGGATTTGGAGCTTGTGAATAATTTTGGTAACATTCACCTAAAGTAACATATCAAATGCTGATGACTTTACTTATTCAAATGAAGAACATTTGAATAACTTATTTTCATGAAAATAAAGGAAAAAGTCCTTCATGCTTTTGAGAAAGTAAAAGTAACAATTCAGTTTATTCAAAGTCTACTTGTTTAACTATCTGATATGATAAGATAAAGAACAAAAACTGATACGCTCCTGCCATGCCATATAACCCAAAAGTAGCCTGATAATTTCAGCAAGATTATTGCTTAATCAATTAAATGAATTGTTATTTATATATATATACATATACATATACATACACCATGCTGGGTGAATGCAATAGCTGGCTAAATGCCATGAAGGAAGTTAAAGGCTGTGGGTGTTTAAAGCCATTCCCAGTTGATGCCATAAGTAACCAGTATGGTTATATGTTTAAATTAATAGTTCTGGAAGTGATTATTGGATGGAGTTCGTGTATCGTAACTGGCAATGCATCCACACAGTAAGCAGGAGTTGTGGGTTCAAGTCCTGCTGCAGGCCAATTCTTTTCTTACAGAAATTTCTAAATTAAATTAATTTATTATAATTATTAAAATTAATATGAGACAGTGGCTTAACCACTATCTCTAGTTAAATTAATTAATAATTAATTATTAACATACCCCAAAAGTAGTCTGGTAATTTTGGCAAGTTCATTTGGCTTTATGTGCAGTATTACTTTTGTACACTTTAAGTAAGTAAATTAAACATATAATTAATATTGTCTGGTTAATTTGTTTAATCATTTTTATTTAATTTTTCAGGTTTATTTAGAACACCACTTTTGAATGTACCTGAGAAAATTATATCATTTTTATCAGAAACTATATGTTTTCCAAATCGGCCTGGGTTACCTGAAGAATTTGCTCATTTAGTACAGTATATTGTTGAAAATCCAATGATTAATGGAGAAGTGATTCGACTAGATGGTGGCTTACGACTAATATCATAGTACATCATCAATTTTTGTTGTTTAAAATTTAAATTATATATTTACATCTAAAAATATGTAATGTAGATAAATTTTTTACAATGTGTAAAACTTTTATTTTTTTTTCTATGTTGCAATAAATATAGAATACTTTTAAGAATTGTTGAGTAATTTTATTTTATGAATATGATAAATTTAAGTTAAAATTACATTTTAAAAATCACAACAATATACATCTATACATATGATACTAATGTTAATTTTGAAACTTTAAAGTGATAAATTATTTCAATTTGTCTTGGTTTAGACCCATAGTGGACAAACTGTGACTTTTATACTTACTGCACTTACTGCACTCTCATATAAGTTATATATACAGTCCTGGAAAAAAGTTTGAGACCACCTAGGTTTTCAAACTTCCCATTAAAATTAGCTGATCTGTAAATATATTATTGTTTGGGTACTAAAATAACTATAAACCAAATATGAAGTAAAAACTTATTTTCATATTTAAGAAATTCAAATACAAATTATTGCTTGCAATTTGCCTAGAAAAAAGTTTGAGACCAAGATCAAAAAAGCACAACAAGAACTAAACATAGTGGGAAAAATAATGTGTAATACTTAATTTGCTTACCATTAACCTAAATAACATCAATCGATTGATCATGGAGTTAGTAAGAGTTGTTAGCCTTTCAGGACCAATTTTATCCCAAGCAGCCACATTGCCTTTTTAAGATCAGAAACATTATTATTTTCTATTGGCATAAATCACTCTTACCAAATCACCCAAAGGTTTTATATTGGGTTTATATCTGGGCTATACAATGGCCATGGCAAAACAATAATGATATTGTCAGACAACCATGTCATTATTCAAGAGTATTATGAATAGGAGTATTATCTTCTTGAAAATAAAATGTTCATCCATTGCTTCATCTCTTAAAGGTAATTTCCTAACACTTGATAGTCAACTTTGAATGTGGTGAAATGAAAGTAATGGCTGGTTTTAATTGTTGAGTGAAATCTGCCCACACTATCATGGATCTTCCACCTTGTACACAACACGATAAAAGATGAGGTTGGTAACATATATCATACCAATAGTATTGTATATCATCAGGGCCATCCAGATTAAATTTCTTCTCATCACTAAAAACTGTGATTCCATAAATTTGAATGGCCAACGTAATGCATTTGTAAGTTCAGCTGCCTTTCCATACAGTAGTTTGTAACTTTCGGCTGTGCCTGCATTTTAATGTAGTCATGATTTGCAGACTTGCACAACATATCTCATTTTTCTTGGTGTTACAGCTGTAGTGAAGCTGCAATCTAACTAGTTGAAATATGAGACGATGTAGTAGTTCTAAATATTGCCTAACAAGTTGTAAGCAATAATTTGTTATATATATATATTAATAACTTATATAAAATACAGTTTCAATAGAGAATGTGGCATTCATATTTTTGATAGGCAACATATGGCTCCTGTGATGATAAGGTTTGACCAGCCCTGGTTTAGACTAATGTTTCACTGTTTTATTCAAATAATCACTTGCTGTTACAATGTTTGGCATGTCTCCTTAAAGATGTACTAAGAATAATTTGATTTTTTGTTGTAAATTATAATGATATAATGTAAAAAACTTTTATAACATTTATTACTACAAAAATTGGTTGAACAGAATAAAAACACAAACATATATATCCAAATTTTACTCTTTATTGTTTTGGATATATATGTGTGTGTTTTTAAAAACTGTTTTAATTATTAAAATAGCTTTTAATATACGGGTATTTACTAGCATAAAATGTTTGTAATTAAATAATTGAAAGTGATTCAAGTTGAAGCAACGTATGCAAATATAGTAGAGCTTTAATTAACCGATGTTCCATGTTATCTGAGACAAACCTGTTAGCAAATACTTTACTTTTCTTATATAGTACTGTAATTCATAAAAGAAAGTTTAAAATGCTAACATGTATTACAAAATGATTTGTTTCTGTTACCTTTAATCATTTTATTTCAATGTGAGACAAATCATATCAAAATGTAACTATAATAACACATTTTTATTCTTAAAACTATCGTACATATCAGCTTTATGATAAATGATGGAAAATATTATAATTAAATTTGCTAAGGTATAAAAAATGCTTAAAAGTGCTACTATATAAAAATTGTATAGTCTAATTTTTAATCCTAAGAAGTTCTGGCAGGCTGTTTATCTAAGTTTTTAAAAATAACAAAATTGTATAAGTAATAATACTTGCTAATAAATTGCAGAATCAATAATTATTTCCTTGAACACAACCTTGAAATAATTTTATAATTTGGATTAAAATTTTAATGGTTTTCCACGGAACCTTAACAAGTCTATGTTATCGACACAGCATTTATCTTGGATTATCGGAGTACCACTGTATATTTAAGTTCCAAATATTTTGTTTAAAATTATATTTTAAAAAGATAAAATGATTATTAATTTAATTACAAGCTTTTTGTGACTTAGATAATATACCACTTGTGTAAACCCAGACATAAGGAAGACTTAAAATAGATTACTAAAATTGTTAAAATAATAAAATTCCATAGTTTATTATAATTAAATTCATGTTACAAAAGAAAGAACATGGACTCATATACTGTATACAGTATATGCATTATCAACATACAGTAAATTAAGTATATTTTTTGTTTTTAAATACTAATTTGTAAAGAGTTTACTCCAATTGTACTTAGTAGCATATTAACTTAAACTGATAACCATGCCAAATAAATTCCTTAACAACAAGTTTTCCACTTAGATATGGACTTACTTAAATATGTAAGTATTTTTAATTTTTACTTTTGATGATATCTTTTAACATAATTTGAAAAATTACAAAATAATTTATGTAAATCTAATAAACAAAGAACATTTAAACATTTGTATTTGTGGTAATAATTTTTGGCAGTTCAAGATTTTTTTTTTTTTTGACTAATGTACTTGAGTTTTCGTAATCAGACAACAGTTTTGATTATTCCAACTCATTTCTTTGTGATAAAAACAGATGGTTAACCACGTGTAACGTCGGAATGTTCTAATGAACTGCAAAATATCCCTATACAATTTAGCTATGACGTTTATCTACATCGCTTATGTACCGGTATATGATGAAGTAGACTATAAGCGGTAAAAAAAAAATATATATATATATATATATATATTAAAAATTTTGTCCGGACTATAAAATTACTCGAAGGTCGCGTTTACGGAAAGTTCTGTTGATTTTGCAATTCATTAGCAATTATTATTACTTATAAAAGTTTATTGTTTTTTCATATACAGTCCGTTAATCTTAATAAAAGATTGTCGAAAATCGAATCTTGCGCAAACTAGGATTGTATTGTTTTATTTAAACTTCGGAACGTGCTTGAAAAACACAAGGAAAAGTTTCGTGACGGAATTTTTTCCGACTCCGCTCAATGATGAAAAGTCATTCATCACGGTTGAAAAGTTTATAAAAATACATTACAACAACCAATTTATTGGTTATTATAATATATATATATTTTTTAAATCTTATTTAAAATTTAATTAGTGTTTACGACTGAAGCATTATTTCAGTGTAAATATTAATTAATTAAAAATACATAAACATCTGTAATTCTATAGCAATTCGTAAGAGGGCGCTGTAAAGAGTTTACTGCTTTCTGATAGATGCGAGGAGAGATATTTATTTATATGATAGCTTATTACAATAGAAAAAGGTTGCGAAGATTATTTATAATTTGTCAAGTAGTGTTGGAAATTTATTGTAAGTACGTCTAAAGCCTTTTGTGCAAAATATATAACTTATTTATATATATATATATTACTGTACATATGAAAAACGTGATTTTGTTTATCTCAATAATAAGTACAGTACATTGTTATTGTGGAGGATATCTTAGAATGTTTTGTATGCATGCAATGAAGAAATATTCTTTATTAATTGCTACAAAAATTATAAAGATACTTATATACTTATGTTATACATATACTTATATATGTATAACATATTATTACATATATATTATATGTATAACATATTAATATATTATATATTATTATATATAAGTATGTTATATACATACTTATGCATATAATTATGCACATACTTAAGTTGATTATATTTAATCCAATATATGTTGTTTAGTTAGATAAAGAGCTTTAAAAAGCATTGTCTGTTATATTATTTGCTAGTTGTTCCACGAAACTTAATGATAACATCAGTCTTTATTTGATTTCTATTTTATTCTAAGTGATGACTTCATTGCAAACTAATTACTTTTTTTGGCTTGTTTTTCTATAATAATTCTATATAAAAAAATATCTCTTTCTAAATATTTATGGTTCTAGACTGGTGATTTTGAACAAATTCTGTTTATTGTCTTTGGAAAAGTTTTTTTTTTTTTTTTCAGTGTTCAAACTTGTTTGCAATCTTTAAATAAATTAATGTACAGTATAATGTAAATTATTATTAATTGTGATATGTCACAATATTAAAACAATTGAATGCTGTATTAAAAGTTTATTTCAAAAAATATTTTCTGTGAATTGATTCGGGTGTCGGAAAATTATTTTAAAACTTTTATTCAAAATTATGCATTAATGATTATTATTTTATATAAATTTTATTTACTGAATAATATAAAAAATATAAATTAATTCAAATTCTTGTACTTAAAAATAGAAAATGTATTAATCCTTAATATTTCTTATAAATATCTAGGTTTTCTTAATATAAAAATGATTATTTATAATCTGAATTGCTAAGATTTTCTAAACTATTAAATTACAATTCAACAATAATTTCTAATAATCAATCCTAATATAAAGTGGTGATACAACCACCTATCTAGTTGATCAAATAGTGTAATTTGGATTAAAGATTATAAAATTGCATTGCTGAAAGTCATACAATTTACACACCAACCAATGCCATACAAAACCATACAAAAGTAAATTGCGTGACAAACATCATCACTAAATCCAATATATTATAAAGCTACGCACAAACCAATGCCGAATAGTATCGGGCTAGAAACGGCTATAATATTAATAATTTATAAGACAATTTGACACTAGAGTTAGGCGTTAGGCACCATCTCTTGATAAATTTAATAAACCTAACTCTAGTGCCAAATTGTCTTATAAATTATTAATATTATAGCCATTTCTAGCCCGATAATATTCGGCATTGGTTTGACTGTAGCTTTATAATATATCGGATTTAGTGATGATGTTTGTCTTGCAATTTACTTTTGTATAGTTTATTCTATTTGGTATTTTTTTTAAACAAATTTTTCTAAATTATTTTTTCGATATATTCATTCTCTGTATTTTTCAGCCATATAATTACACTGCAAAATATTTTAAATTTGATTCAAACTAGTTTAGATCATGCAATCTTTCTTTATCTTTTATTTAAGCTGACTAATCCTTTTGTGGATAAATCTGTTTATAGGCAAAATTTATGCAAAGTACAATTAGTTGAAGCTTTGGTTTTATTGGCTTTGATATTTAAACATGTTAAAACATTCAAAATATGTATAATTTAAAGATTTATTAATTCTAATTATTATTATTATTATTATTATTTAATAGTAATTTATTCAATTTTATTTGCTTGTTAGTTTTGCTGTATGTTAGTATTTGCTGTATGATGCTTTTTAACAACTAGCATATAATTTAAGTAAGAAATACCAAGAACTTATACTACAGTACTGTGAGCAAATAATGATTAAAATGTTTAATGTTTAAAACACTGATAGCAGGATTAAAGATAGCTTAAAAATGCCTATTATAACTATAATATAACTATATACTTGAAGATTATGATAACTATCATCTTAATTTAATTCAGATTACAATAAGTAAAATTTTATAAGTGTGTTATAACTTATTAACAATAAATGTGAACATACACAGATATTATAATTAAAAAACTGAATATTATAAATAGTTCTACAATACAGCTAAATAGAATAGTTTCTAAAATAGCCAACATTTTTGATTATAAAGGTGTAAATGTTCAAAAATATTTTTAAAAAATGAATAATTTGTTGATTAATTAGTTTGAAATGTTCTTTAATAGCAAAATTTATAAGTTTACACCAACTTTTCATATAATTAAAAATGTTTAAAAGAATTTTTTCATATGCAATTACATTTTAAATCTGGTTGTTAACAGTGAAATTTAAAATGAAAATTTTAGATGACTATACATCTATTTATACCTATTGCTGTTCTTATATCATAGCATTTTGATAAATAATGTCAATTTCTTAAGTTGTATAGAAAATTGTTATACTGTCAATATTTACAAAAAGTTATATATATATAGGGTGTGGAGTAAAAAGTGGATAATTCGTACCTGCGGATAGAGGACATCATGACTGTTCAGAAATTAAACATTGTGTTTAGTAAAAGTGTCATAGTTTTCTAGTTATTGGACATTTTCTATTTTTTCGGAAAATGGACTCCCTCATTCACATTTTTGAATGTCATGGTTCAATGTCAAGGATTTTTTCCAGTCTATTTTTGAATACATGTTCTATCAAATGTAAACTGCCATTTTAGTGTCATAGACTTGGTTTTTTTTTTTAGGACAAAAAGTAATTTAAAATTTTTGTTTACAGTACATTACAGTACACAGGTTACAGTACTTTTTTTACACTGAAAAAAAGGAAACAAATTTTAAATTATTTTTTGTTCTAAAAAAAAAAAAAACAAGTCTATGACACTAAAATGGCAGTTTACATTTGATAGAACATGTATCAAAGACTAGTATTCAAAAACAGACTGGGAAAAATCCTTGATTTGTTACCATGACATTGAAAAATGTGAACGTGGAAGTCCATTTTCCAAAAAAATAGAAAATGTCCAATAACTCGAAAATTATGACATTTTTACTAAACACAATGTTTAATTTTCTGAACAGTCATGATGTCCCCTATCCACAGGTAACAGATTATCCACTCTTTATGCCACACCTGTATGTATATACAGATATCCCTCATATAACACTGTATTTAGGTTTCGAAAAAGGACAGTGTTATATGAATCTGTGCTACACAAAACAAAGGACTAGTACAAAACACAGGATTAAGTTCCATACTATTCTTTTTTATAATTAAGAGAAACATATTTATTAAAGCAATCAATAATTAACTAACAATCACAATCAAAAGTATTGCAATTTCAATTTTTCCTTCATTATCAAAAACCATTAACTGAGGATTTTTTCTTTTTGGAAAAATAATATCATCTGAGCTTTTGTACTTAATGTATTTAAAAATTACGACATTTTGTATGGATATGTCCAATTCTCAAATCATGTTGTAGAGGGATATCTGTATATGTAGAACTGGAAATGGAATTAAGTTGATCACTGTTTAGTCTTGGGTCAGAAAGGTTAAAAACAAAACAGTCACCCAAAGTGACCCATGGACTAAAAGGCACTCATTTATTCACAGAAAGTGGCTTAAGGCATTCTTTGTCTTGAGATGAAACTAGACTTCAAGCTCAATTTGCAAGTACTGTACATATAATTGGATTTACTTCAGATTATCTTATTATTTTTAGTACAATCAATCCTTTTTGTTTTTGAGTTATTTACACAATTCATTTGTGATAACTGAATGCTAAACATAGCATAATTTTCTTATATTCAAAAAGAACTTAAAAAAGAAAGTAAAGAATATGTATATAATTAAATAATATTTTTATAAGAAATATTAAAGACTTATAACTAGGATTTTTAAATATTTTTTGACTGTTAATTAAAATATAAAAATTTTATATTATAATAATAATTATTGTTAGTATATGCAACAATTATTTTTGTTAATTTAACTTTTTCCATTACATAGGTTAATGAAGAACAATATAACAATGACACAAACATCACTGAAGTGCGGTTGTAGCATAAACTTAATTGTTCACATTATCAATTCAATTTTTTTGTTGCTAGTGCTAGTTATACAAGGAAGCATGCTCAATTTTTGTTTAATACTACATAATGAAGGTACTGCTGGTTGGTATTTCTGGTTTTTGGCTGACTTTTTAGTTCTCATTGGATTCATGGCTTCTGGAATTATTTCCTATAAATTTTATAAGAGAAAGGTAAATTGAATTATTTCAGATCTTTTTATTAAATAGCATTATAACAAAAAGCAATTATTTTTAAATAAGTTGAAAATAATTTATTAAAACAATATGACATAATGAATTATAATTATTATTATTTTAAAGTATTTTACTATAATCTGTGATTATTCTGTTAATACATTAAGAAAAATTTGCTTTTTAATGTGCAATCAAAACACTATAATCTATTTATTTACTTAACTTTCCATTGTAAAAAGCTTGGCTTATTAATCAATAAATTATTATTATTATTATTTGGAATTTATAAGTTATCTCTTCTGCATCTATATAGATCTTTCTAGTAATGTTATTTCTGTTTATAACAGAATAATTAAATATATATATGTATCTATTTATTGTAGGCAAGATTACAACAGGAAGGACATCCAGAAGATGTTGTTGATTCCATGCTCACTCCATCAACTAGATTTGGAATATTGCCACTCTGTTATATGGTTTGGCTATTTTATGCCTTACTATTAACAACGAAAATTATTTTATTGTTTAAAATGAATATTGCACAAACTCTTGATTCAACAGTTACATTCAGTCCTCAAATGTTGAAAGTTGTAATTGCACTCTCCATAATTGTATTTATGCTTTTGGTTGTTATTCATAATAATGCAAAAAGACATTCTCATCATTACAATTACTTTAATGATCTAATTAGCAGCACTTCTTTTGAAATATTAGATAGTGTCACATTTTTGAGCATCTTGTTTGTTAATGAAACAAAACTTATTCTTCCATATTCATTAGAAAATGCCATTTTAATTTTGTCTTGTGTAAATTTCCTTCTTCCAACATTAGCATTATATATGCTTAGTCAGTCAAAATTTGGTATACACTTGTCTTCTCCAAATCTTACCTTTTTATACAATTTTCTTCATCTTGTTTTGATAAACTTACCATATTTTGCTATACGTGTCCATTTATGGACAAATTTTGATCGTGATGTCTCTCTGTTTCTTTTAAAAAATGTTTTACTTATATTAATAAGGTCTCAAAATATTGTTTCAGGTTTTCAGTATTGGTTGAAATTATGGAAAGAGAGAAAACATAAATATAAGCATCCCACAGAAAGCAATTTAGAATTGGGAATAATAAGTAGACAATCTGAGCATTCAGAAGAGAGTACAATGATACATATGGATGAAATTAATTTAAATACTAAATTTGCTGACAAGTCACATTTATAAAAAAAAAAGAAGAAGAAGAAAAAATGGAAAATATATTATATGATATTGTATAGTATAAACTACTATAATTCTTTGTCTTTCACACAAACTGTGCCAAAAATTAACACTTAATTCCAAGAAAAAAACTGTTTATTTTAGACCTGTAAAAATATTGATTTTATAAACTGAAATTATGATGATATTTGTCATTAAAAAAATGACAAATTTGTCATTTTTTTAATGACAAATTTTTTAATGACAGTTTATTATCATATTTGTCATTAAAAAAATGACAAATATGATAATAAACTGTTCAAATTAAAATTATTTTTTCCAATTGTTAAATAAAACTGGAAAAATAAAATATTGTTAAAAAGAGATTAAGGTCTTCCATATTAAGTCAATATATAAATAGAAACTGATAAAGCAGTCTTTAAAATGAGAAATTTTATTTTTTCTGGCTGTTTCAATTTGAAAAATGCATACTATCACAAAGTGGACAGATGTTAATCAACTTTGACTGTATCATCATCAGTTTATCATACTTACTTAAATATGGAAAATCATAATTCATAAGTACGATTGGTATAAATTGCAAACATGATTAGTATTTAATATTTTATTTGTCTGTAAAATTATTTTAATTGAGAAATAAGAGTTTAACAAATAAACATTATTTAATAAATAAATGGAAATTATATGTAATGAAAAATTGTAATATTCAAAGCTTGGTCTATAAATGCTAAAGCTTTATTTTGACTGCTTAAAATGCAGGTTTAAACTTTAAATTCCTATGTAAGATATATATTTTTGGAATATATTTAAATCTGTATCTGTAAGCAGATCAAAATATATTTAAAAATTTTATCTTTGACTATATTTAATAATGTATACATTTAGAATTTTTAAATCTAAATTTTTGAATATTTTTAGAATATTATAATATATTTAAATTTCTTAAAATTTTGAATATAAAATTAATACTAATAAATGATTGAAATATGTTAGTTTTAATATAATGCAAAAACAACATAAAACAGTAACATAAAAATTGTTTTCTCAGATTGTTATGCAGACATGAATGTTTAAAATACATCAACTAGTCTACATTTATAATAATAATAATGATGTATTTATCTCTGACAAAATATTCTATATTCTTGTAAAAAAAAAGAAAAAATGTTTTTCATAGTATATTTCTATAATTTAAAAGATTAAACTTAAGTATATTAATTCTTTACTTATGCAATAGATTATTTTTGTCACTTAGAAGCTGGTTTTCTTTTACAATTATTTAATATCATTTTTAAAAAATAATATGTAAGTAAATATAAATGCTTCTATCATTTGTAGATTTTAAAGCTAATCACACAAATTCTCAGAGAAAATTAATTAAAATTAATTCTCAAAAATGCTTACAATTAATGATATATATTCACAATTATGTGTCTTTCCTAAACAGTTATAAGTTTTGACTTTATTTATACAATATCAAGACTCTTGTCTTAAGAAATTTCTGGTATTTATAGTGTTTTATATGGTTAAATTAGATATTAACATTAAATTATAATTTAGTTCCTGTTATTTAATTTTTATTAAAATGTTCAAAATAAACTGAAAATTTAATTATTTTTAAAATAGATTTATATCTTCTAACTATAATATTTATTTTTTCTTGTGGAAATCTATTATATTCTATTTCACATTATGTATTACTTTCAGATTTTGTACTTTTAATGTTTTCAGTCATATCTTAAATTAATAATACAATATCTTAAAAATATTCTAGTAAGTAAAATTTAAAATTTGTTATTTTTTATGCATCTAAAAATTGATTATTTTATTTAAATTTTAAACATTTTTTAGTAATACAATTTTATCTCCAGTTTAATAGACATTTAAGTTATCAAAATTAGCATTTAATAAAATATGTACTGGTAATCCTAAATATATCAGTTATTATAATACTGACGTTTACAAACAAATATTTTTGATGACATAAAACCAAAAAGTTACAGTTTTAAGCATTTCTAAGTTAGAGTTGAAAAAATGTCAAGCTTTTCAATGAAAAAATAGTTATATTGCTATAAGCTTAAAAAATAGTACTCAAAACAATATTTGAAACATTTAGTTTTTTTTATTTACAATGTTCTGTATTCCATTCTGATATTTGAAAATATCTGTTGTCTTCTTATTTATAAATTAAAATAATACCAGAAAATTTTTATGACTAAAGTGTTCATGATATAATATATTCTATAAAGAATCATCAGTGATAAAATATAAAAAGTTTGATCAGATTTAATGCATTTCAACATCACTGATATGATGGCTATGTTGCCAAATTGTTAACTAATAAACTAAAGCCAAAACTTTTCATCAAAATTTAAATAAAAGTGAAAAAATATTTTTCTAAAGTTAATTAATACACTTTTACAAATGATAAAATGTGCCAATATCAAAATATTGCTTAGATGTAGAATATTCTGACTATATCAATGTTCTCTCACTCGTGCCAATGCACTATGTATTATGTTATAAAATCCTGATTTTCTACATTGTTCTCTTATACATTCCTGATGAAAAACTCTTTTAAATGTTAAATATTAAATTGATCCATGTATATATTGTAATTAAGAATAAAAGAATAATGGTGTACTTAAAAGCAACAAATTGTATCCAGAAGGAATTTTTACTTGTACTCAATAATCGTCTTAAATATGTATGTTGTCTTTCCTTTTACATATCATTTTATTTGTTAGATTTTAATATTCTTTATTTTTAATAGTTTTTCCAGAGAAATTTTGAATTATAGCCAGATAATTGAAATTTCTGATGTAATTACTTAAAGAAAATTGTGATATACTGAATGCTGTAATATTGAAAGTGTTTAGTATATTATTTAAAGATGTAATGTCAGTTTTATCAAATACTTTCAAATCATGTTGTTTCTTTAGGTGAACAAGTATTTTATGTATGGAAATTTACATTTATGTGTGATTTTGTTCATTAATGGATATACTGTTTGATTATTTCAAAAATTTATATAATTTATTCATATTGTGAGCAATCTGATTCTTTTCAATTTAAACAGTAGAATTATTTCCAAGGTAGTTAGTTAGTAATATTTTTTAAATTAAATTATATATTAAACCACTATATAAGTAATGTAGTTATAGATAGTCATTATTTTATAGAATTTTTGGAAATTGAGATAATTATGGATTTTAATTAATTTAATTTTAGAATGATGATGTTATAATTAATAAATTAAAGTGAAATTATTTTAATTTTAGAAAATTGTATATTTGATAAATAAAACTGTAATATTGTCAGGAATTATAAGATCTGGCAGTTTATAACAGTACTGGATCCAGAAATATCTAAAGGAGGAATTAACTCAAAAATTAAAAATACTTATTAATTATTCAATGCCTTTTATTAGCATGTGTATGACAGTTGTATTTCAGATGGTCCGATAAACCATATTTGCCATCACAAATGTTTGAACAAATAACTTTTAAATTTTTTATGTAAATGGGGAGGGGCTTAAAACCCTGCAGCTTCCATGTTTATAATACTGGTTTATAAACCACTGGTTTATAATATGCTTATTTTAATGCAAGTTTTAAATAATTACTGTAAATGTTAGTATATTATTCTTCAGGAACATTGTTTTTTGGGACAAGCATAAATTTTGTATAATTTCCAGAAATTAGAAATATAGAAATTAATAAGTATTATTCTCAGTTTGATCATTATATGAAACAATTAAACTGAAAGGAAGCTAAAGGTTAATGATTTATATACGTAAATACAATATATGGATAACTAAAATAAATATTTTGAAAGAATTAGTCATTAACTAATTGTGATTATGACTGATAACTTCAAATATTATGTGATTTTTTTAAGCATTCCATATAACATTTTATATATAGTTATTTTTGAAAATGTTGCTAAATAAAAAATATAAATCAAATTTACATCATACTGTAAATGTTATAGTAATGTAAATTTCATCAAATTATTTTGATAAAATAAGAAACAAGTCAAATAAACTCAGAAAAATTTCTTGTTATTAAATGCAATAGATGGCTCATTTGCCCTGTGGATTATTACATTACTTTTTTTATTTTTTTCTTGAAATTATTATATATCATATTTAGAGAATAGTGATTTGAAAATTGAAAACTTTTCTGTACTATTATTATTTTAATAATAAAAATTTGACATAATAATTTATATCAACTTATAATTTCTTCCATATGAATACTCAAAAGTATTTGAAATGAGTAAAACTGAAGAATATTTATTGCAAATAATAAAATGTTTTATCCAAAACATGAGATTTATTATTAAAATATTGTGTTATTTCTGAAATTGTCGGTTTAAGAAATATTTAGTCAATATTTAAAGTTATAGAATTCTGATGATAAACACTGAAGTCATATAGACTGAAAATATCTAATTAATAAGAAAAAATGATAATAAAATAAATGAAAATTGAAATCAATATTATTACTATTTTCAATTACAGTAGAATTTATTTTTATTAACTTTACAAATAACTCATCAACAACCTTTAGAAATAGAATATATTTGTTAGATAAATTTATAATTATTAATTTTAAAGTACAGAATTAATACATATATATAGTTTAAATAAAAGATTGTTCTTTCATATGTACATTATATATTCTAGATTTAAATAAAATATATTTTTATGATATTGTTTATATTGTGATAAACATCATCATTTCACTAAATTACATTTATTGTAAAAATAAAGTATTTTTTAATACTTTTTATTTTTACAATAAATGTAAACATTATTGAATGGATTAAATTATTTAATAATTTACATCCTAATTGATGCTTAATAAAGATTTCAGTTTCTCTCTTAAATATAAGGTTTCCAGTGCTCCCAGATTCACTGGGAGACTCCCAGAATTTGACAAAAAAAATTTTTAATCTTTCAACTTTTAGTTTGAGGCTTCTGTATTTACTCAACAAGACAATTAACTTTTGGGATGTGTTATAATAAATCAGACTAAAGAATAGTCGACAGTATTTTGAT